ATTGATTTATCCGAAGACAATGCTGTTCTGTGTTACAAAGTACTACAGTTTTGACAGTTGTGTACAAATGTAAGTAATCCAGGTAATAGCAATTAGTGCAAATGACACAGAAAGTTATGTCAAATTACTTAGTTAACACTATATTCACCGTTAAGTATGCAAGTAGAGAATAATCACGATTTTAGAGGCATGTTCGGAGAATTGTTTATTATAAAAATCAAATAAAGGTCATATAATAAACCATTAATAATTTTGCAACTCTAATATAGAGCAGAAATGGAGTGGTATTGACCCTTCCTAGGTATTACATAAGGAGTAAATCAGTGACTTTCAATTCCCATAAATCACTTGGATTTCAAACTGTTCTGTACGAGCATATTTTCTTACGATGAAAATCATCGTTCCATGAATGATGAAACAGAAAAGAAACGCTCGAGTACGTACGAACCGACGAAACTATTGGAAAAGATCGGTTATTGTACCGCAAGGCGACAGACATTACTTTCGTTAACCAATACCGGCTTTGTGAAAATTTAATATGCCACAGAATTTACGCAAGATAAGCGGGCGAACACAGGTTTTAATTGAAATGACGTAATCCATACTAATAATGAAATTTGCAGGTACTTACTGTTTTCTGTTATAATACGCGAATGCAGAAAACTGCGTGACTTTGCCTGAGAATTGCGTACGTGAGACGGTTACACCAATCGAGGAAGAAAGACTAGAACCTGCGCACAGTTTCGGTCACGCATGCGTAGAACGGCAGCTTAAAAAAAATTGCAAATTATTTTTTCGAACGAATATCGATAACATCGATCTAAGAAAATTATACGATATATTAGCGAACATAGTGCCCAGTCATTGGAGACTATAAATTCGATCATTTAATCGATGTGTTGATTCAGTTTTCGGATGTTACGTAACCTCGAGGTACACCCCTCTAAACGTCGATTTTGCATACATCCGGTTCGCGCGATATGTATCATAGATTGAACTTTGAACAAAAGATAAAGATAATGGATATTGGTAAACTACATTCACAAAAATATTTTTAACAAATTCATTTTGTACATTCTTCGCTAGATTCTGTAGCATTCGGTAAATAATTGCCTGGGCTTTCCGAATTATAATTCTTCCTCTTTATCGTCTTTACATATTTTTTTTTTATTATGTGAAATGAAATGAAACTATTCCAACTTTCTAACAGGCGTTTATTTATATTCAGATGTACATTATTAGGCTCGACAAAATTAGAAACTGTTCACGATTCGAAAATTATCTTTACTATATATTTGCACGTTCGTAATTTATGCCCATCAAGTATTGTAATAGCACAAACTTTCTATAAGATAGAAAGTTTCGTGATAGTTTAATAAAAAAGGCTTTTGCATTGAATGGTTTAAAGTCGACGTATATAGGTTAATGCGTTAGTACCTGAAACAAGGGGAAATGGTAAATCAAGATCAGACATGCCGGATGATTCCTAGCTTCCGAGATTCCCACTTTTCAAAATCAAAAAACTTTCAATAGAAAAATTTGATTCCTTTTTTTACTATTGGCTGATCCTAGTAGAGTTAAATCTATTTTATTTCTCTAATTATGCTTATTCTTTCAGATAGGTTTCCCAATATAGAAACTCACGATGTTATGAAACAGCGTTTATGGGAATACCAACAAACGTAATTGGAAAAAATCGGATTTTTGTATACGGCCGATTGTGTCGGAAAAACAACAAGAGCTACGGATATAACAGCATCGCAACGTTACCGAAGTACTCTAGATTCTTCTGAACGTTTCTACCGACGAAAATATCCAGGCTGTTCGATGCAGTGCTATAGAATGTTTACTACGTGGAGACGGCTCGTGAAAGACGGTGGTAGTACCATCTGGATCATACTTTTGGCAATCTCCGCGGATGGTATATTTTTAATAAGACGATTATAAATATCGGTCCGATTTTTAGTCGGTAGCATTCGCATTCGCGCACCGCTACACTCGATTAAGCGTAATAGTCGCGCTGTAAAAACGCATTGTGGGAATCGGTTGACACCGCTGTTTAATTGTTAATCATGTCGCAACAAACCACGGTACGTTTCGAACACGTTGCGGTAAAACATCGTACTTTTAGTACACCGATATACGATGATTTTTCGAAATGTGTGCAAGTATTATGTTTTGTAAACAAATTTAAATAAATTAGAGACAGACGTACTTCCGAGTGACTTTTACCGAATTAAACGCAAGTTAGGAACTTTGGTAAAGTGGATAGTGTTGGATAATCTATACATTTATTTTTAGGAGTCATCGAAATTGGGAGGTAAAAGCACCGCAACGTACAAAATACTCGAAAATGATAAAGTTGGAAGGTAATTGAAACAGATTCATCGTACTTAACAATTTCGTCGGAAGTATAGTAACCATTTTTTAAATATCGATAATATTTATTATTCGTGTTATTTTTACGAACGATTATCTTCGCAAGCGAAGATAAGTTGTGACAAAAGGTTTTTTTTATAATTTTCGGATCGCTTTGAATTTTGAGATAGTTCTTCATAAATAATTTCATTCCCAGATACATGATAGCCAACAAAGAGTTAGAGGCAGGCGAGGAAATACTCACGGAGATGCCATTTGTGGTCGGACCAAAGGCGTTCACTTATCCCTTATGCCTTTCGTGTTGCACGCCTTGGCCACCGACGCCGAGTGATAAACCTCTTTGCTCTAAATGCGGGTGGCCCGTTTGTTCTGCAGAATGCGAAAATCTGCCTCGACATAAAGATTACGAATGCCAGGTAGAAATTATTAAAATGAAGAGTAACAAATTCACAGATTTCGAACGTTTGGAATGTAATTCAATTTTCGATATTTTAGTATGCACTTGTGCTATATGAAAATTTGATTCGTAGATATTTGCACAAGCGAACGAGAAATTCAACGTGGCAGCGGCTTTGGAAGAAACCAACGAGAATGGTGTCCCTCAATTAGAATGTATAACACCGTTGAGGCTGCTGTTGGAATCCGAGAAGAGTCCCGAAAGATGGAATAACGAAGTGAAGGCGATGGAGGCTCATAATAAATTAAGAAAAGAAAAAGCACATTGGGATTCGGACCAGGTGAACGTGGTAGCTTATTTGAGAAACCAGCTTAAACTCGAACGGTAAAACTTTGTTTCAATTGCTCGGAAATTGCGATCTTTCCAAGGCCATCTTACCATAGTTAATGTCACGAACATTATTCGTTACAGATTCTCCGAAGAACAAATCCAAACGGCTTGCGGCATTTTGGAAGTAAACGCGTTCGAGATTCGTACAGCGAATGGATTCAGCGCGAGAGCTCTGTATCCGACCGTAGCATTGATGAATCATTCTTGCGTCTCCAATACATGCCACAGTATTTCAACGACAGATTTTAGGTAAAATTGTTGTACTAATCGGAGCGCTCGGGTGAAAATTATGGCGTGTAACTTCACCTTTTTCTCTCTGTCCGATGATTTTTCTCTCTGAATAGATATTCTATGACTGTGACACGCTTTCCAAAAGAAATGAACGAAGACCCTGAACAGGACGCAACAGACAACTTATTCGACGAACTTTGATTATTTAATCGCTTGAAATTCGTTCGTAGAGTACGATTGCGGACAACAACGAAAGTTCCGCCTGCCGGTGAATTGTATGGCAGTTACGTGCACTCGTTGCTACCAACTATGTTGAGAAGAGAACATCTTCTCGAAGGGAAATACTTTGCTTGCGCTTGTCCAAGATGTGCGGATCCCGCCGAGCTGGGGACACACATGTCGTCCTTGAAATGTAACAAATGCGACAATGGCATCGTGATGTCGTTAGACTCCCTGGGTAATCGTCGCGACCACTTAATTATGAGAATAATCGCGAAAGCGCTGCATCTGATCGAACCAAATCGTTTCGCAGATCCTGATAGCAAATGGAAATGCACGCACTGTGAATTCTCAACGAGCGGGGCAGCTGTTCGGAAAGTACTGCATATCATTCAGGCAGAGGTTGACGCTGTAGAAACCATCAGTGGAACCGAGGGAGCCGACGCCATTCAAGAAAGAGAAACAGTTATGAAAAAGTACCACTCTGTGTTGCACCCCTGTCATGCTTTTAACACGATGCTGAGGTAAGCGCAACGTTGATCATCGAAATCGATGCAACATGAACTATTAATGTTTGTTTTCAGGCACTCGTTAACACAGATGTACGGTCGCGTCGATGAATACCTGTTAGACGATCTGCCAGACGTGGTGTTAGAACATAAAATAGATTTGTGTCATCTGTTGCTGCAAGTATTGAACGTTATAGAACCGGGTTATTCTCGTATAAGAGGTAAAAATGTCTACTATCGTTTCGATACTTTTTGGTTCAGCTTCTCCTTTAACGTCAGACATTAATATTCAGGCATAAATTCTAGAGTACAAAATATCGATCACGTTTTGTTGAAGGAATGACGTTGTACGAGCTCCATGCCCCTTTGCTTATCATCGCTAAAACGCAATGGAACGCAGGCGTGTTAAACGAGAGTGGCCTGAAATCGAAAATGATCGATGCTGTTCAGATCTTGAGAGAATCTGCAACCATCTTGTGCTTGGAACCGTCGGACACCCCCGAGGGACAAATAGGCATCGTCGCGAAGGACTCGTTGGTTCAGCTGGAAGACTCGATCAATAATTTATAAGTATTTCATGTAAATATAATAAAAGTGCATTCGAACATATGTAATATAATAATTAATCGCCTCAGACAATAAAAGATGTATTCTCGGAAAATATTTTCGTACCTTTTAAAAGCGTCATTCTTCGCGAATATTTCGCAACAAGATATCTTACGCGTTATTTATTGCAACGAGCGAGAATCTCACCGGCGGTCAAATATTTTACACATTGTAAATACGTAAAAAAACGTAACGCTATCGCGCCTAGACAATCGCTCCAAATCGCTGCGTCTTCTAATTCGATACCCGCGCACGCATCGTTTTGTTTTCGATCGCTCGGCATCCGCGCGCCATGATGGCTTCTAATAATAATGCAAGGCATCAAGAAAGTTCCAAAGAGAACGAGACACGGCCGAGGCACGAACTTCCTGTATATCTGTGTCAGTCAGAAACCGTCGGAAATGCACGATACGTCGCATCTCTCTGGAGCCTTGGTACTTTTCGAGCTTGCGTGAACATTGGTGCACATCGAAGGAGTAATTACTAAAGACAGCGATGTCGAGCATGGCGCTGATAGAAAGATCGAAAAACTGTACGCCTGTTTCTTCGAAATACAATGTTGCTCGCTCGGAGAAACTCGGCAGGTATCGCTCGTGCGCGCTTAATTGCATTTTAATTAGTTTAATCGTATTTCAAACGAAACGTGGACTATTCAAATTTTTCGTGCGTCTACGATAGAGCAACGTTGACTATTTTATCTCTTTAAACCTAAGCGACATTTTGTTTGAAACAACGATTAAGCTAATATTTTTGCAAACAGTTACCGCAGCACTTAATTGCAACAAACGAATCAACGATAATGTTTCGACTAATATTCGACGGTTTATAGCAAACGAACCAGCGACAATACGATACCTTTTTCAGGTATTTACAATCCGTAAAAGACTTGACCGCCGGTGAGGTAATACTGCGAGAGAGGCCGGTCGCCGTGGGACCAACGATTTCCAGCAGAGATTACGTATGCTTCGGCTGTTTGCGTTTCCCAACAAAAACGAAGAAGCTGTCGCAACACCTGTGCCCCAAGTGCAACGTTGCACTTTTATGCGGCCCTAATTGCGAGGTAACTAACGAACGATCTGCTCGGCATGACTAAATATACTGGAAAGCCGTGCGAAGTATAGTATAGCATACCGAATCCATCGTTTCGCTTTATTTCGAAGCAAACCTAATACCAATTCGAAAGCGATTTTTCATCGCCTTCAAGATATTGAATTCTAAAAAAAGCGCAAATTTTCTAAAACGCTGTCTCCGAATTATGTTTTCAGGAAGACTCCGAGTATCATACTAAAGATGAATGCGAGATGTTCAAAAATAACAAGGATTTGTCGCCGGACAACGTCGAAGAGATCATCGGTGTTCTGTTGCCGTTGAGATTGTGGCTTCTGAAACAAAGAGATCCAGCAGCGTGGAGGCAAGTTGAATGCATGGAAGCCCATACGGCCGAAAGAAGAGACACGCCGGTATGGAGAGACAGAGAATCGAACGTTATAAACGTAAGCAGAATCGTCGTATCGCCTGTTCATTTGTTGCCGCTTTCGTTTCTGCTGCAGCAATTCCGCCACGTGTCCGTTCACCGTCGGTGTCTCAGGTCCAAATTTCTATATTCTATAGATATATATATATATATATATATATATATATATATATATATATATATATATATATATATATTAATATAATTATAATATAATTATATATATATATATAGAATATAATATATATTCTATATCATATTTCTATATATGTATATATTTTATAATGTAAATATGATATAGAATATATATTATATTCTATATATATATATATATATATATATATATATAGATAATATAATATAATATAATATATATTCTATATCATATTTCTATTTCTATATTCTATATTGTCAAGCTCGACTCGCGCGATTCGGCATAATTTTTCTCCGTGCCTACATTAGCCGGCCTTACAGCGGCTCCCCGATTGCGCAGCGACTTCGTCCGCGTTTTCTTTGCCAGCCTCTCACCAGCTGCTCGATTTCGCACCAAGTTGGTCCGCGTTTTTGCACCAGCTTCCCAGCTGCTCCGCGACTCCGCGTCCGGGTTCGCCCGCGTTTCTCATTTTCGAGGAGCGACTTCTCCGAAGCTCGTTCGAAGGACAAATACATTTTGCAACTGTTAAACAGTTCAATGACATTAACAAAAGAAAGAAAAAAAGTTCAATAAGTTAAATATAAATGTAACGAGATTCTCGTTCTCGTCGAAACGTTACGAACGTACTAATCGCCGACAAAAAGTCGAAATAATAATGTGACGATTTTTCCAACAATAAAAACCGTATGATAATAGGTCATCAGGGCGCTAAATTTAATTCCTGATCATGACGCGTCTACCTCAGAACTTTTACAACAAGTGTGCGGCATTTTAGACGTAAATGTGTTCGAGCTCCGATCTCCGGGAGGAGTGGACGGCCTCTTTTTACGAGGTTTATATACGGAAGCCTCCTTAATGGCGCACGACTGCAGAGGAAATACCCACCTCACTGTGGATGATAATTTTCACCTGACCGTGTACGCCAGCCTGCCGATACAGCGCGGCGACACCATATTTTTCAATTACACATCGTCCCTTCTGGTTCGTCGAATGCCAACTGATTTCTTTTCCATTTAAAATATAAAAATATAAATATATAATATTATATATATGTTATAATAATATTATATATATATTATAATAATATTATATAAATATAAATATATAAAAATATAAATCGTGAACGAATACTTCACGATTTTATCGATACTATGTATTACGGATAAAGCGTGAATTTTCTCATTTTTAGGGAACGTCGGGCAGAAGGGAACATTTGCGAGGCGGCAAGTATTTCGAGTGCGAGTGCTCGTTGTGCAAAGATCCTTACGAAATGGGGTCGTACATGAGCAGTATCTTGTGCCCAGGTTGTAGACAAGGTTACTTGGGAATCGAAAATCCGCTGGCAGTAAATCCGTACGAGAAAACCATGAGATGGCAATGCGACAGATGCAGAAAAAGCATCGGAGGACGTCTCGTCCGAGCCACTCTAAACGTTAGCAGAACGTTGATCGAAGACACGGATGACAGCGACATCAAAGTACGTTGTGTCCCTTTTCTTGATCTAGAAACGTAAATATAATAATTATAATATTAATTTTAATTATAATATTTTTTATAAATTAAATTATAATTATAATATTATTTCGAAGGGTTTGGAGACGCTGACGAGCAAACTGAACCGATCATTTCACCCGAATCATTTCTTGATGCTGTCCTTGAAGCAAAAATTATTGGCGGCGTACAGGAAAGAGATGGCAACGCCGAATCCGCCCAAGAAATGTATGCAGAGAATGGTGGACACGTGCAAAGAAGTTTGCGACGTGTTGGAGATCGTCGAGCCCGGGATATCTCGGTTAAAGGGTACGCGACCGTTCCATTTTCTGCAGCGTCACGCTCTGCTTCAGAATTTGTTTCCAAATTTTCAGGTATAATGTTGTACGAGATGCATTTGCCGTTGGTGCTGTTGGCTAACCGCGCGTATGCCGCGCGCGAGATCTCTTTGGCAGAGTTATCCTCGCGGCTCGAGGAAGCTGGAAGTCTCTTGAAGAGATCGCTTAGAATGCTTCTTTTAGAACCGATCGAGACACCGGAGGGCAAGCTGGCTAAACGAGCTTTGCAGGAATTGAAAGCGCTGAATCAAAATATAGCAGACGTTAAGACGATCACCACGGTCGAAAACACGTCGTGCGCGAACGCCAAGAGGAAATCATCCAGGAACAAATCTTCTACGAACAAATGAACGTTCGACGACGGACTGTTTGATGGAAGTCGTAATATGTATAGTATTTTGCGCTTCTTCGAACACAATGATTTCTAAATGTACATTAATATAAGCGATTTCGTCATATATAGTTGTCGAATGTTTGTGAAAAATGAACGAGGTTATTTTTGTGATCTATTATTTTTAAAATATAACTCTTACAACCATCTTATATATAATATATATTGCAGTTACGGATTATTGTTAAACAAACCTTCTAAGCATCGTAGAAATGGTTGGAAAACTCTCCTGCGTCTGTACAATGCAAAACAAAGGATTTATTGTTATTCCGGTCAAAATACATATTTAAAAGTAGCGCCATTTGAGACGAGTGGCGCCGCCCGTGGCAAATTTCTGAAGCTCCTTTCGAGGTTCGTACAGCGCCAATTAGTCCGGTGGCAAAACGCTCAAACTGTTAGCCAAACAGTTTCAGCGTTTTGCCACCGGACTAATTGGCGCTGTGCGGACGTCGGAAAGAGCTTCAGTTTTTTCCCAGAAGAGGCGCCACTTGCATCAAATGGCGCTACTTTTATATATGTATTTAGAAGTGGATAATCCGTGCCGGATTTTACATTGTGTCTTATGAGAACTGCGGCAATTATAATTTACTTTCGATATCTGTAACAATAAATAAACTTTTTCGTATGATATAAGTGCAGAAAAGTCTGCCAAACCTTGCTGTACCCTCAAAAGATTTGTTTAACCCCTACATTAACGTTATTTATGATTTATTCTTATTACTTCGAATTCTTGTAAAATATACTTATGTAAATGCTTGTAAAAAGCGATTATTTTACTAAACCATGTAATCTTACAGCTCTGTCAATAATAATAC